TACCTTATTATCTGCTCCTCTTATTCCAGATTTGTGATCCCTTTGTTGACTCTTCGTATTCTTTAAATCAAAGACATTTTCTTCACTACACTTTTCTAACGTGGATTTCTAGAACTTTTTAAGGGGTTGTCTTCATCTTTATTCCTCACATACTTGAATAACAGACTTTTCCAAGTTGGTTTCAAAAAAGTTTGTATTCTTGCCGTTATGAAGGATTTGTAATATCAAATGGATTATTCTGTATTATGCTGTTCAAAAATAGAACTATTATTATGCAAGCAATTTACCTAAGCGTAGCCATAAATATTTTATTAAAAACTTCACTAGATGTTTCCGGCCACGCCCAGCTATTGAGGTTTCCAAACCAAATTTGCCATTATTGGTTAGTGCAACACGTATTACAAAGCTATTTCACCTGTCTCCGTGTAGCTTCCGTCTAGCGCTCTAATTTTTATTTCACTGGAAGTTCTATTATATTGCCGTTTATATTGTAGCTGATTAACCGTCTGAGTCTTTGAAGCAGTTTTTTCAGTTCAAATTTTTTGAAACCACAACAAACCCGTATAGTAAGAATGACTTTTTTATCTTGTGTTTCTGTTCTTTGATAAAATGGTTTTAGAGGCATCCGGAAAAGTGGGCTCGGCTGACTCCTGCTGAACAGTTAGAATGCATTAAAAGGAAGCTGGCTGATTCCGGGGGGTTGCCCGTGGTTTGTTTGAATACCAAGTGTTCCAAGAGATTAAAAGGACCGGAGGGGCTATTAAAACACATCAATGAGTGCTTCATGCCGGAGTATTTTCGCTATTTGGTATTTCTTAAGTTCTTCGCTAAAAACTTCAAAGAGATGATCTTTTCGATTACCTTTAGCAGATCTGATGTGGTCAATCATCATTTCTCTATATGTACATTGTACTTTCATTTTAAAGGAAAGATCGGAAGAATTTTGCTTATTAGAGAAGGATGCGAAAAGACGGCTTATTAGAGAGGCGCTGAAAGTGTGCACTACAATTCCTTGCTTGAACGCTTATTCTTCGAAATGCGCTTACACATCACGACACTTGTCTAGCATTTATTATCATCTCGAGCGATGTGGTATTAGCCAGGAGGTATTCTGCATCATTGTATTAAAACATGAATTTTATCGGTTTTCATTTTTTCCTGCAAAATTTATACCGCTCCTCTTTGAAACGATCTAAAACTTTTTGTAGTATCTGGAAGTTCCATAACGAAGAAAGAGTTTTAGGGATTAGAAGGGAGGAGGGCGGATTTTTGAGAAATTTTTCTATTTTTGAACAAAGGTGAAGGCCTAAAAGAGGGTAGAACCTAAAACGTACCTTTCTGGGACATTCTTTATCGTTTAACTACTAACAGGCTTTACTTGGCACTATTTTGACTTAAACTATTGGTTGCTTCAGCTTTGTCGCAATTCCAGAAGGCAGGGATAGGCGGTGTGGATGGTTGTAGAATTCTTTCTTATATTTTAGTGCAGGTTTTGTTGTGCTTTTTTCTGCCGAAGACGTCACTTCTTTTTAAAAAGCAGTTCTAATTTTTAATGCAGCGGCCTTTTTTTTTTGCCAGATTAGTGAAGCAGGTTAAGATAAACATAATTTGAAAATATAAATTCATTGTGTTGGGAAAGTCGGTTTATTTTAGAAACGGCCTTGGAGGTGTTACCGATGCGGTTTTGAGTCTACCTCTAGTGAAAGCAGTAGACATTTACTCGAGTGTCGTATGAATGAAATGTCTGAATTGTTACAAGCTTCAGAGGAGCCGAACACGAGGTGTTTACCGATGACCTTTTTGAAAGATAATTTTTAAAAGATGTGTCGTTCCCCTGTGCTGGTATCGGAATTACAAATTGTTTTGTTTTTGTGCAATCGTTTTATTTTAAGGTCCTCACAAAGTAATAAGCCGGTTAGCTATACAGCGGAAGATCTAGATGAAGAATGGGAAGAAGCGGAAAGTGGAAAAGGGAGGCGGAAACGGGTACTCAGTTTAACTTTTTGCTAGTGTGATGTAAGAGTTAGTGTCTCTAGCTAATCGGATTTGTTTGGAAGTCTTACCACTCGTTCTGAGGCTTTTTGTATCGTAGTTTGCTCATGCAGCGTATGAAGAAACTGTTGCAGCGTTTTTTAATTTAGCGTTAGTTTGGACCAGTTTCTTTTCTATTGGCAACGGTTTTTGAAACCATTTTATTTTGTTTTTTCTTCACTGTTTTTTGCAAATTGTATTATTTTGTAAAGGAGAGACCTGATATGAGTATAACATCAAAGCACTTTACTACTGCGCCTTAAGCTTAGAGTTTGTTGGGAAGAAGCATTTTGGGTCTCCTGCAGGGGACTTAATTTTCATTTTCTTTTTAGTGATTTAGTAGTTCCTATAAAGGGTTTCTTATGAGTATTTAACCAGTTGCATAGTAAATAAAAAGTTATTCATTAACGAGATAGTAGAATCAGTTCCTGACCTATACATTGGGTTTTAGAAAGCCCTATCGAGTTCAAACGACGAAGAGTGTCGTCGTAAAAGGTTTTTTGATACTTCAATACCTGCAACAACGCCAAGCAAAGTTACTGTTTCTGGAACTCATCAACGTTTAAAGTTTAAATATCTTGATTCCAGTGGTAAGTCTTTTTGCTGAAGGAGGTTTATAAGTTTATTTGTTGTGGAGTTTTTCGTTTTCATTCAAAATTTTCGTTTAGTTTTTTAGAGTTTACTTTTGCTTTCGTTACTTACTGTTTTGAAGATATAAGCTTATTAGAAATGAAGTGGTAATCTCTATTTTATTTTCCGTTTTACTTTGATCACCTAGCTCTTAAGCTTTTAAAGTCTATTTTTCAGTTTGATTGTTTCTAATACAGTCAATTTTTAGCTCTTTTTCCTCCTCCCGTTGCTCAGAAGTTGTATCAGGAAGTCATAGGGAAAACAGCAGAAACCTTTGATAGCGAGAGAAGAAATGAGCCTATCTGTTCTGTCTTATTAGATGCAGTATACAAAGTGTGGCCTCCTCTCGCGCGAGGAAACCTTAAGTAAATTTAACTTTGTCTCAGTGGTTTTTGTATTTATAATTTGTTTTTTCTCTTGTCTAAACATCGGCTTGTTTTAATCAAATTGCGTCAAAAATTTCCCTCTTTAGTGGTTGTGCGAAGGAAATTTTAACGAAGGAATCCATTCCGTACATTGTGCAAGGTGAATCGCCAAATGTTAGAGAGGATGATTTGTCGGAATCTTGTAACGAGGTTCCCGAAAGCGCTGGAAGGAGATTACCAATTTTCGCTTTTGAGAATTTTGTTTTTGCTGAAGATAAGGGGTAGCTATTTTGTTTCGTCAAAAAATTTTTCTGTTTCTATGTAGTTTTTTTAAAGGCATTATTGAGAAATATAGGATATTCATCTTGGATATTCTTAATTTTTATTGCGGAAACTTGCATATTTTCGGCTCGCAAAGCTTTGATCGTTATTTAGCAGTCTGCTAAATAAAGTTTGGTATTATTACTCTTTATGGTCCTTTTTGAATTTCCTGGGGCTGTCTTACAATAAGCTATATTGCAGCTCGTAGGACAGTGATTGGTAGAGATTACTATGTTTCTGCCTTTATTACTGCTGTCTCTAATTTGGTAAAGTAAAGATTATTGCCATACAAAAAGTGCTGCCTCACGCTTTTCATTTGTTGATTTATGATCTTTCACGGTAAAAGTTTCATACAGAGATCAAAACTTTTATAGTGAGTCCGAAGTCAAGGTTCATCGCAGTCAATCAAATAAATCTTCGGCATGTTTTACGTATTGTGGCGGGCCAATATCTACCATTGCATCTTGTCCAAATTCCTTGGAAGACGGTAATCTTAATGGATATTACTTTTTTCTTGAATTTCATCTTTCTTTTTAACGTAAAGTGGTGCGTTAGAGGTAGAACTGGGTTTTAATTTCTTTATTGTAATGCCCTCCTAACAACTTTTCTCGTCTTTTTACCGTTTTTTTTAAGGACGAGAATGTGTTGCTGTAACAGTTTTCCCTGATGAAGAGTATTTAATTCCTAAAACTTTGGACATGTATGAGGCTAAAGATTATGTGCAACTGTTTTTTTACAAACGGGAAGAAAACAGGTATGTGGGCTTTTTTGTTTACTGATTTTTATACCTTTTTTCAAAGTTTATGTTGCATGAGGAGATGGCAGAATTTTCGCAGTTTATTACTTTTAAAATAGAGGCACTGTTTACACTTGCAACAATCTGTATTATTATATTTTTTTGCGTGTTCGTTTTCATTGTTTGTCCTCTGAATAAGACACTATTTTTTGATAGGTATTGATAGGCAAAATAGTTTTATATTCTTATATTTCAGCCTGCGTGTTAATCTTGGCTGTGTTGTTGAAACCGACGTTGGTATAATTTTAACAACAATATGGTGTCCACTGTTTCGTGATAGCATTGTTTCAAATACGAAAAATAATTTTTTTGGTTTTTTGGCTCTTTCGGGGACTCGAGGAGATATTGCCGTTTATGGGTAAACTCAGTTTTATTTTTAAAATATCATCTGCTTACGTTTCTATTTCACATTATTCAAGTTTGTAGCGTTTTACGTTTTAGATTGCATCCTGATTTTGTGAAGAACTTGAAGGAGGATGATGATTACCAGTTTTTCTGTGCAAAACCGGTCTTTCGGTTAGCGAAGTCGGAAGACGAGAAAAACATTCCAACAACTGCTTTGTCTTGGTCTCCTTTTAACGGAGGGTCGACCATTGCTGCTGTGTCTGCTTCAGGTATAACTTAAACCTTGATTTTCATTGGTTGGTTTTTTGTGGAAGTAAGTTTTCTTTATCTTCTTCTTTTATTGGACAACCAGGTAGTCAGGCTGCTATACAGAGGAATTTTTGTCTAGTGATTATCGTGTTTTATAGGTTCTGTCTTTATTTGGAATTTGAACTGTCTATCAGAAAACCCGACAGTTATACCTCCGAGTAACGGTTTAACAGCCCCATTCTCAGTTTCCTTTTTTTCAAAAAATGAAGGTATTTTTTTCTGGCCATCTACTCTTAAACAACAGTTTAGTCATTAGTATTTTACTGGATTGTTTACTCAGTATCATAAGTTGCTTTTTCCTTGTTAAATTTGTTTTTGTGGCTTGAATTTTTGGTAATCGTACAATACTTTCTGTAATAATATGAGGTTTTTCAGTAGCTGTAGCCTATCGTGAGAAGGTTTTGCGCATTTATAGTTTGGAAAATTATGAAGTGATTTTGGAGGAAACTAGTTCAAGAACAGCTGGTTTGAAGGTTTGTTTTTGGTTTTCAAATTTTAGTCTTGAAAAAATGAAAGGAAATATCTATTGAATTTATTTTCAGCTTTTTTTTCTGTCAATTTCAGGTCTATTCATGTCCAAGGTTGTACTCTGGACTTTTTTGCTACCAAGGGGATAACATTACGATAAGTGACTCCGTTTTCAGTTCTTGTTGCTATATAACTGTGGGGGGTCCTGAGAAAGGAGTTTTCGTGGTTCCAATGTTAAACAGGTAGTTGCTTTCTTTATTTTTCGTCACTCAGATGTCGAAAATAAGTTTAAAGTATTCAGGCATGGAGTGGTTATGTGGGATTTGGTTGTTTGCCCAATAACTGGATCGCTGCTTACAGTGGGGGCTGATGGTCAGTTAAATTTGTCTTTAACAGGCAGACTCCTTCCTGCTTGTAAGCAGAGGCAGTTCAATTTTGGTGGAATTCGCACGCTGCTTTCTTTAAAAAAGAAAAGGAAAGACGTCAATAGTCAGGTTGCTCTTTAATTTCTGATTTGATCCAGTTTCAAACATTTTGCACTTTTCTACAAAAAGTTATCTCGTTGTTTAGGATTTGTGCTTCTCTTCCGTTTCCTTGGTCGTTAATCATTATAAAAAGACAGGACACTACGAATTTGAGTAAGGTCAAATCAAAAAAAATTTTAGGAGAACTTACGGGATATTGATAAGTTGAAGTCACTGGAGTTTCCTGATGGTGATGAAGAGGATGAAGCTAAAGAGGGCAAGGCACCAAGAAAACCTGCTACAGACTTGGATAGCGCAGTGGAGCAGTTATATTTAGAGATTTTTTTTGGTCCTCATCAGGTGAGTTTGCACTTTTCTACAAAAAGTTATCTCGACTCTAAAATGTTTTATTTTAGTTTCCAAAAGTTGCTGAATGAAACGTACAATTATTAGTTTAATTAGAACATGAATCACTCACACTAATGATTGTTTTGTGTTTCTTTTTGACTTACTGTTATTTTTTCACTTTCTAGAGTCGTGAAGAATCTGCGACCTATAGCTTGGATTTGCGTTTTGAATCGTTGAATCGTCTGGCAGTAAGTGAAGTCAAGGGGAAAGTTGCTATTTGCGGGGGTGAAGCAGGTCTACTTTTCTTTACTTTGTTTTAGGTTGATGCTTGGTCATTATTTTGCTACTGAGTTTTTGCTGTCGTAAGTGAATCAGTTTGTGAAATTTGTTTGCAAATTCTATGATTCCTAACTGTGTTATACGTAGTAGGTCATATTAGTTCAAGGCTTGAATCCTTGTGTAGCGGTGTCTAGATCTCATTTGATTAATGCTTATGATAAGTGTAGTAAGGTGTGGCTGGGAAGAGTTAGCAATGTAGGCTAAAATAGGAAGCAGAGGAAAGGTTTCTCATTTGTTAGTATGCGGCATTCTTATTTTTAAGACAGAATAGTTTTCTTCTTGTTATTATGTACGTTATTTTTGTTCCGACGAGTTAAAACGATTTCTCTATTTTGAATCTAATTACGCCTTGTTGCGCTACATTATGATTGATGCTTTAATGGTTGTAACTGAGTGCTACTGTGTTAGTTTACACTAATTTCCTTAGTTCCAAAATATGGAATCTTATCCGTCCTTCTTGTTGTCTATCTGTACCACTTTGTTTGCGACCAGTTCCAGTTTTACTTGAGGTTCAATTGGTTTTCTTTGGTTTCTTTGGTAAATTGTAATCGATAAACAGAACAGCGGAATTGTTTTTCACATTGCACGAATTCTGCTATTGTTTTTTGTTATCTGTTCTTTCAAGGTATGGAAGATGCTAAAGTACTTTTAATTTTTCGTTTGTATATTATTGCCTGTACACTGTAGAATTGTAATAATGCTGCATTTTGGCCTTCTACATGTACTAAGATGTGTATTGCTCAATGTCAATTGACGGTTTAGGATGGCTCTACAGTAAACAACTAGAAGTTTTACCGTTTTTGATTTATTCAAATATTTTCGTGTATCGAATCCCTAATTGAACATTTTTCTGCTCACTAGAATTTTGGATAAGACCATTTAATATAAATTCTTGACGGAGGGAAAATTAACGAAGGCTAGTTGCAAGAAAGGACGGAAGAAGTGTGATGATTTTTTCCGAGGTTTGTGGCACCACCGGTATCTCCCAAGGTTCTGTATTTTTATTCCTGAGGTTAGTGTTAGAGTAGCTTCCTTTTTCTTTTTCTAATATCT